TCTTGAAGGCTTCTCCTCTGGCGCTCCAGCGGGTCTCAACTAAACCCTTAAGGCTAGTTCCGGTTATTTTGATGGGGATATCCCAGCGGTGTGTTGAAGTTGAGAAAAAGGAGTGCTAACAGTCCAGTGTACCAAAAAATGTTACCGAATTGACTTCAGCTTCAGCAGCTCGAATTTCTGCTAAATTAGGAGAAAAGTTTGAGCAGGCATTGAATAGTGACTTCTAGAATACGTTTTTGGACACCGTAGTTTTGACCTTTCATGACCGCAGCATTATCAGAGCCTTGACCCCTGCAGTCAATTATATCTAAACCAACCTAACGCAGTTTCTCTAGAATCATCTCAGCGATTCCAGCAGCATGCTTGTCCTTTGTGTCGATGAAGTCAACAAAAGACTCACGAACCTGCACCCCGTCATTATCCATGACAACGCACCGTAAAATTTGGGAAGTTTGATCCAGCTTTGAGATGTCAGGTGTACTGTCAAAAATAATAGAGAAATATTTGGCTTGTTTTACTTGCTTTATGATTTGTTTTTTAGTGTGATCTCCCAATATTGTAATAAATTCATTTTGTATTTGTGGAGACATGTATGTATTTGGTCTGGAACAAAGCTTGGTTCGAAGCACATGCTCCCTCAAGAATGGATCGTACTTTGATAGTAATTTTACTTACTCTCCAGGTTTTCGTCTCTTGTATAATCAAAATCTTGGGCCTTGTTGTCAATATTGTTCCCTACTCTCAGGTGAACTTCAAGTTCCTTCCAAGCAAGCGATGACTGAATGTGAGCTCTGCTGGTCTCATGTTTTTCTGTTTTCGGGGATAACCTCCAGCACTCATTAAATCCATGTTTGGATTTAAATGAAGATTTGGTACATGATCTTGTTGAGAAGAGTATGCAGAGGAAGCAAAATAAGTATTCTATTTTTTTTTTTGCGAATAACACATCCACTTTCTAAGAACTTTCTCGCCGTTTGACATTTGCCGGAAAAACCAAACCTTTGAAAGCTTTCTAGTCTTTCCTTATGCTGATTCTTGATGTCTATACGCCTCTCTGAATTGACTGTCCATACGCTGAACTGTTTCAGATCCTTGAGTGACAAGGTGTATGCGAATATTATCTGTGATGACATCAGGCCAATCTCCAATGTCGTTCAGTCTAGAGTTCATTATCCTGCTTTCTGTATTGTTTACACTGTCTGATGGTTCAGCTTCTTCAGTATGAATTTTTGAGGAGTGCACTAAAGACATGCTTGTGTGCTGTCTTAAAGTCTCTAGATCCTGCGGTATTGATGTATTTTCTTCTTTTTCATCATTCAGGATGTCGGCCTCATATTTTTTTCTGGATTCAATTATAACCGTCTCATCTTGCTTTGTTGCTTTTAATTGTTCAGTTAATTCATACCCAATAACAGCTCGCCTATAGTCGGTGGACTCTGGCAATGATGTGACTTAAATTGTCTTGATGCTTCATTAGACTTAAGAAATTTAAGAAACGCACCTCATTGCGGTCAAAGAAACTGCTTTATGCGGATGACATTGTCCTCTGGTCAACCGGGAAGAAAGCCGACCTAATACAGGCGGCATTACAAGCAGACCTCCAAACCATCTCGAATTGCGACAAATGATAGATTCAGATAAACGTTGCCAAAACAACCAGGTCCCTGTTCAGCCTAGGGATCTACATTTTTAAGGCTCCATTCGAGCTTCAACTCGGTGGGCTGCGACTCCAACGTGAAAACACGCCAAATATCTAGGGGTAACCCTGGAAAGAAAGTTGTCAATGTTCTAGCACGTCCAGGAAGTTGAAAGAAAAGCCTCGGAGAAGTTAGCGTTACTAAGAAAGCTGGCCAGCACAAAGTGGGGTGACAAAGCTGACATGCTACGCACATTGTACTTAGGGCCAGTCAGATCACAAATTGAGTAGCGACTCTAGGCTACCCACCACAATCTTAGTGCAACAGTGGAGAGAGAGGAACCGCATACAAATGCGATCGTTCCTCCACATTGCGGCCAATTTGTCAAAATCAGCTGAACTCTCCACTGATTGAATTCCAATTAGAAGAATTAGTACTTGCGCTCCATGGAGGAGGTTGCCACCCCACAAATAAACATGTCCCTTATAGGGCAAGAGGGAGCCACCAAGAGGCGATTAACACCTGCCATACTCCAAAACTTGGCATCAGCTACACTAAAGTCCTACCCATCAGATGCCATTGTCTGTTATACCGATGAGTCGGTAATGATAAATCTGGGTATGGGGCCCTTGTAGTCTACCCAGACCGGACAGAACCAGAAATGCCGATTTCTCAGAGTGAGCTTCAAAAAGGTTTTGAGGCGCCAGCCAGACTAGTCAGTCTTGAGCACTGTTCATCATTTTGTTTACGTTACAGTATTACAATTAACTAGTTAGTTAAAAAAACTCATAGAAAACAAAGGTTAGCTTATTTTAAAAAATGGACATTACAATAGAATTTTTTCAAAGATTAAACTATTAAGAATCATAAAGAAAGGAATAAACTAAGACAATTTTTTAGAGCTAGAGTTTATAAATATATTTGTTAACTCAATATCTAGATTAAACCAATGGACTAAAAATGAAGTAAAAAAGGTTGGCCCATCTTCTTCTTTATATTACAGAGTATTGATCAGTGTAGTAACAAAATGTACCGTGTGTCCGAAATAAATCTAGTAAATTAGATTCAAACTGTTCTATAGCTTACATTGTATGGAAGAAATAGTCAAGGAGATGAAACATAATAGCGACATGACTAGTTTATAAATCGTTAGTTCATGTTTAAAATACAGTAAATTAAGTTTGTTTGTGTCCATACAATAAGTCAATTTTACTAAAAAGCTCACGGAAATAGGAAATTAATACACACTGGGGGAATTTTGGTGCCCTGTGCGGCCCGCACCACCCGCACATTGGTAGCTACGCCACTGGACAATATCATGCATTAAGCTATACATTTGATTTAGATCACTTTTACTAGCTAAGAACCAATGTGATACAACTTGATACTTTTCTAATTAATATTAATCAATGTGTGTAAAGTACAACATTTACATTAAGAAGGAATAATGAACATCTGTAGATAATATGGTAAAGCAGTAGCAAATTTCACAAAGTTGTTCTATTCAGAATGAAATCTGCAGATACAGACTACTGTTAAATGAAATGTTCATGTTCCATGGTGGATTTGATGAAGTCAAATCTTGTTTCATTAAACTTCATGGGACTAGTGCAGTTTTTTAAATATATAAGATATTTGAGATAACAATTTGTAGGTCTTATGTTGTAGCCTACTTGTGATGCCCTTTTCTCTTGAGTAGCATTTTTCTTTCAAAATATCATTCTAAGTAGATTTTTTTTTATAAATATTATCTATTGCCTTAAGCTCTTCTTGAACACTATTGTTTAGCATCATTTAACACTCAGCTTGTATAGTGCTGGTAGATTGAGAGTTTGTTTTTTCTTCCTTGCCTCAAAATAATTTAATTTTGTTTTTGCAAATTTCTCAAGTTAATTGGTCACACCCATATGGTTTGGATGTGCTAGTTTTTTTTTTCTCAAGGACAGAAAATCTGTTCTATTTGCAGTGTGCTTGTAAATCCAGATTTGAGTATTAAACATGTATACAAAGTAATGAGGTTTAAAATTAATACACAGTTAAACTGTTTACAAGAGGCATGTGCAACAAGATCAATTCAAACACATTTTTTTTTATTTCATTGTAATAGTTTGAGAAACACTGATATATACAGATGCCAATCAGAAGCCTAAGTCTCGGATATGTTGGAAACAAGTGATACAGTTTAACAAATAAGATCATGGGGCTATTGCCTAATATTCAAAATGGAAAAAAATGAATATTTGAAATAAATGAATTTGATAAAAGCAAAAGAGGAATGAACATTTTATGTTCTAAATGTTGTTCTACATTTACTAACAAACTGCTTATCTGGGATTGGAAAAAAAAACAAAAAAAACTGACACTTATTTTTAAATGTATTTGATTGAATAAATTTAAGCTCTAATGAACTTTATGTTTATAATTAAGATCACATTTTTTAACTGTTCATTGTGTATCTTGTACATTTATCTCACTTTTTATATTGTTTTTAGTTTTAAGTATTGACTAGCAATAAATATATTTACAGGCAGGTTCAGTTCAAGTCAGAGTTCGAAGAGATGCAGATGAGCAGTTAGTGCTGGCTCATGTTTACAACAGACTCAACAATCTTGTACATCAACTCACAATACAAATTTTCAAAGATGACTGGACTCGGTCTTCAGCATATCCATCATTTACTGGACAATCTGCTGGACACTATTCTCAACCCCATGTCACATCTCCTACACCATATAGTAGTAACTTGCCACACTCACTTCCACCACTCCCTCAGAGCAACAGACAGCCCATTTATAACCTTAACCCAGTTTAACAACACACAACCTAGCCTTAGTCCAGTTTAACTACACTGCCTAATCTTAGCCCATTTTAACAATATACAGCCTAGCCTTAGTCCAGTTAACAATATACAGCCTACCCTTAGCCCAGTTAACAATATACAGCCTAGCCTTAGCCCAGTTAACAATATACAGCCTAGCCTTAGCCCAGTTAACAATATACAGCCTAGCCTTAGCCCAGTTAACAATATACAGCCTAGCCTTAGTCCAGTTAACAATATACAGCCTAGCCTTAGTCCAGTTAACAATATACAGCCTACCCTTAGCCCAGTTAACAATATACAGCCTACCCTTAGCCCAGTTAACAATATACAGCCTAGCCTTAGCCCAGTTAACAATATACAGCCTAGCCTTAGTCCAGTTAACAATATACAGCCTAGCCTTAGTCCAGTTAACAATATACAGCCTAGCCTTAGTCCAGTTAACAATATACAGCCTAGCCTTAGTCCAGTTAACAATATACAGCCTAGCCTTAGTCCAGTTAACAATAAACAGCCTAGCCTTAGCCCAGTTAACAATATACAGCCTAGCTTTAGTCCAGTTAACAATACAGTACCACTTTAATCCTTATTGAAGTTGAACAACAAACAGCCTGTTTATAGCCATAGGCCATTTAAGTTACAATATGCAATCTACTTTAAGTACATTAATTTTTTGGCATTTCATTGAAAAGCTGACCTAACAAAAAAAATATATATATAAATATATTTTGTAAGAATGATATATATTTGTTTTTGGAAAACCTAAATAAATTTTTGTTTCATCCTTTTTTATTGTTAGCTTATTTCTTATTATTACTATTATTTCTTTTTTAAACTTTGAAATGCAGAAAATAACACTAACAGAATTCTGAAAACCAATTTAGACAGCTGTAATCATGCATAACTATATTTTTTTTCTAAGTGTTTTTCAAAAATCTTTTTGCTTGGACACTGAGAACACGTTTTTTTCTAGGACAGACAAACTTGGAGAAAAAAGTTATTTTTGCATACACTACAACCTCATGAAAATAATACAGTGTGTATATATATTTATACTATTTCAGCTTGCTAGTACTATTTAAACAAAAAAAACAAGAACTAACATGATCCTAAATGAATTAATTTTTCTTTAACCAAGTATTTCATCAAAACTGTAAACAGTGAGACTAAAACATCTCTACCTAATTCACTCAAGGGCAACCCCAACAGCAAAGTGTGCATGCGAGATGGAAGTCATCTGCCAAAATGGAGAAAAGATTAAATGTGGCTCAACAAGAATGTCTGAGACGGATTTCAGAGGTTAGGTCTCAAACAAAGAAATCCTATGCTGAACTGGGGCTCGACCACTTAATGTGGTTTGTGGGACTTATCCTTTGACAGAATAAATGGCGCATAGGGGCCCCACCATTGTTAAGTCCGGCCCTATTTAGTGACCTGTAAATATACATAGTAGATTACTTGTTCTCTTTCCATGACTTCTTGGTCACAATGGTTAAGTGACGCGCTGCTATTTAGTGTTTGTAAAATGTCTTACATGTTCCTTCAGAGTTGACGATAGTTTACTTCCTAGTTCAAACCTCCTGCAGGACGAAGGGGGATGGGGCAGTCCAGCGCGCAAACCGCACGGCCAGGCAGCCATCTGTAGCGAAGGGTGAAAAAATACTTGTTCCCCCCTTTTTTTTTCAGAGCCCTGCTCTCTTTGCCTCGATAGTTCCTACGGAGTAGATTGCTTGTTCTCCCCGCCCCTCTATTTTTATACATGAGGTAGAAATTTTAAAAAAAGATTGATCTTTCTTGGTTACAACGGTCTGGCCCTGCTATTCTGTGAATACTTGTTCTCCCCCCCCCCCCCCCCCAAATCTTATTTTTTCGTGGGGTGACTGTCACAGTTTCCTTATTATATTTATAATAATAACTCGATAGAATCTACCTTAGGTCTCGCTACGTCTAGGTGTCCCTGGTTCAGTTCTAGTTAACGAAATAAAACAATGAAACCACTAGATCAAACACATACACTTTAATCAGCTTTACTGCATCTCACACACGCTGGTCTCTGACAACAAAACACACTTCCGGTCATTCGCGCAGATTGTAAAAATAGATTATACATACATACATTCATCCGTGACATCTCGCCCCTCCTAAAATTATAATCAATTTTTACAAAGATACATCAAACACTATTATAAAACACGCATAAAACATTAAAACACAATACAACAAAAATGTTCGTTCGATAGGCCACAAAGGCTCTGGTTATGCCACACAGGCGGTTATGTAGTCATTCAGACTTAAACATAGTCACAAAGATCTTGATGTAGTCACACAGACTTCAATGTTGTCACACAGACTAAGTAATATACACACAGTCTTAGAAGATGAAGACACACAGTCTTAGTTGTAGACAGAAAGTCTACCATCAAGCAACAAAGTCTAAACTGTTGAAGACACAAAGTCTTTGATGAAGCAACACATGCTTGTGAGAAGCCACGTAGGCTTATATCTATGATAAGCGTGACAGAATGTCCACTACGACGTTTCCTTTACCTGGAATATGCTGCACTTCGAACTGAAGCATCAGGGCCCAGCGAGTTACCCTGGAATTCTGGAATTTCATTAAAAACCATCTTAAAAGCATTATAGAAAATCATATACCAACTAAATACACATCAAACAAAATAAATAAATGCTGGTTTAATAATAGACTAAAGAAGCTTTGTAAACAGAAGGAAAACCTATATAGAAAATTTAAAGAAACTAAGGCAGAAAGAGTTTACAAAAAGTATATAAAAATTAAACACTTAACACAAAAAGTAAGCAGACAGCTGCAGAGTGAATACATAAACAATGTAATATCTAAAGATAACAAAAAAAAAACTATGGTCATACATTAAGTCTAAGAAAATGGAAACAACAGGCATAGCGCCATTAAAAGATGAACATAACATAATACATAATGATAATGAAACTAAAGCAAACATCCTAAACAAATACTTTGCATCAGCATTCCCAGCCCCAGGAGACAAAGACATATTACTGAATTTGAACCAAGTAGACAACATAGAAGATATAGTAGTACAAGAAAATGGAATTAAAAAACTATTAGCCAACACCAAACCAAATAAAGCGTCTGGACCTGATGGTATTCCAGCTAGATTACTCAAATACTCAAAGAACTAAGCAATGAGCTAGCCCCAGTGTTCAAAATACTCTTTTAGGCTTCACTTAACCAGGGCAGAGTACCAAAGGACTGGAAAGAAGCTAATGTCACCCCCCCTATTTAAAAAAGGAGAAAAATCTGACCCAGGAAACTACAGACCAGTATCACTTACCAGCATCACATGTAAAATCCTAGAACACATAATATGTAGCAACATCATAAACCACTTAGACAAACAAAATGTCCTCACACCATACCAACATGGCTTTAGGAAATATAGATCATGTGAAACACAACTAATAGGACTAATTGATGATTTTTCTAAAGGTTTAGATAATAGTGAACAAATAGATGCTATCTTACTAGATTTTTCTTAGGCTTTTGACAAAGTTAACCACCATAGTTTGCTTAAAAAATTAAATTATTTTGGTATTAATGGTTCACTGCATCAGTGGTTTAAAGATTTTCTGATAGGGAGAGAATGAACTGTAATAATAAATGGCTCTAAGTCAACACCGATAACAGTAAACTCAGTTGTACCTCAAGGAACAGTCTTGGGTCCACTACTATTTTTAATTTACATAAATGATTTACCAAATTGCATTAGTTCAGGAACAAAAGTCAGATTATTTGCAGACGATTGCATAATATATAGAACAATAAAAACAACACAAGACACAGATATTTTACAAAGAGAATTAGATGAATTACAGAATCAAATTGGAGCATGTCTTTCCACCCAGAAAAATGTCAGTTGTTAAGAGTAACAAAAAAACTAAAACAAATTAATTCCACTTATCTTATTCATGGCAAACCAGTAACACAGACTAAAAACGCAAAATACTTAGGTGTTATAATAAATGAAAAACTGTCATGGAATCCACATATTGATGAAACTATAAAAAAAATCAAACAAAACATTAGCATTTATTAAAAGAAATTTCTATAAATCAAATAAGAACATAAAATTAAAATGTTATTTAACCTTGGTTAGGCCAATAATAGAATATGCATCCTCCGTTTGGGACCCCTCAACTCAAGAAAACATTAAGAAACTGGAACAGACACAAAATAGAGCAGTGAGATTCATAACAAATGAATATTCACATTTGACTAGAGTAACACCTATAGTAAAATCACTAAATTTAGAAAGCCTTCAGGACAGAAGACTCAAAAGTAAAGTAGCAATTATACATAAAACACTGAACAATAATCTTCAAATACAAAAACAAAATTTAATAAAATACTCTGAAAGACACAAAAATAAAGGCACATTCCTCGTCCCATATGCTAGGACAAATTTGTACAAAGACTCCTTCTTCCCTAGTCCTATTAGAGCATGGAATGGGTTGCCTGAGCTAGTCAGGAAAACCAGTGACTTGGCAGAATTTAAGTCATTGGTTAATATGCATGACTAAATGCATGACGCGTAGGACGTAATCATTTCTTTTTTGAAGTAACGTCTGTATTATATAAGATAAGAAGATAATTCACCGACTTGCGTGATCTGTGCGGAGTACGAATGTTCTGCCCAACAGGTATCTGGCCAACTTGGTTACTGCCCAAACAATTGCCAAGCACTCTCTTTCTACAGTGCTTTGTATCGTTGTTCTGCTGAAGACAACTTTCTACTGACGTACATAACGGGATGTAGAATGCCCTGTGATTCCTGTGCTAGGCATCCCCCGATAGCAACAGCAGATGCATCAGTAGCTAGTATGAATTCCTTCTGACAGTCAGGTAGACGCAGGATCGGCTCCTCAACAAATCCCTTCTTTATCTTCTGCAGCGATACGTCACAGTCATGTGACTCCTGATCACGTTGGGTGCTCCCTTTCTGGTCAGGTTAGTGAGTGGCTCAGTCATCTCTGCAAAATCTGCTATAAACCTTCGATAGAAGTTGATGAGTCCCAATAAACTACGGACCTGTCTCTTGGTTGTTGGCTGACGAAGATTCATAATCCGTTGTCGCAGTTCAGGTTGTGGTTTCAGTGAGTGTCCTCCAATTACATATCCTAGAAAGGAAATGTTTTGCAACCAATCTCCACTTTAGATGGTCTCACGGTTAAACCGTTAAACCATTTCTCCTCAATGTACCTAGAACCATTTCTAGATGTTGCAGGTGATCTGACCAAGTAATGTCATGAATGCAGATGTCGTCTAGGTAGCACAGTACATGGGGTAGATTAGACAACACCTTTCTCATCATTCTGCTGAACGTTTCTGGTGCGTTGACAAGCCCGAAACTCATGACATTAAATTGGAATAAACCAACAGGACTACTAAACGCTGTAAGTGGTTTAGCTTTATCTACGAAAGGTATCTGCCTATACCCACGGGTCAGGTCTAGCTTTGTAAAAAATGTTGCGTCTGCCATTTGAGGTAACAAGTCTTCAGGATTGGGTAATGGTTCCGAATCAAGCACAGTAACTTTGTTAGGCATTTTACGTCTCGAGAGACGATCTTTTCCCTTTGCAACTTCTCGTGTGACTAAAGAGGCCAATCCTTGATACACAGCTGCGATCGCAGGTTGGGCATATATAATCACCAGGCGCCGTTGCATTTTCACCCTTCTGTCTGCTTCTGTTGTGTATGACATCTGCAATCTTTGACCCTTCCTTTATGCTCTCTCTCCATGAGGATCTATCCAGTGCCACCTCTTCCCAGTTGCCAGTGTCGATTTTGAAGAGCTTCATGTCGCGTTTGCATACATCCGTATAACGTAAAATTGGGCGAC